CCCCCCATCCCCAGTTGCTGGTCCCAGAGCGGCTGCTCTCCCCCACAGGCACACACTGGGCTGTCATCGTCCCCCCCCATCCCCAGTTGCTGGTCGCAGAGTAGCCCACCCCACAGGCACACACTGGGCTGTCATCGTCCCCAGTTGCTGGTCCCACAGCAGCTGCCCTCCCCACAGGCACACACTGGGCTGTCATCGTCCCCGCCCCCCCCCGTCCCCAGTTGCTGGTCCCAGAGTGCCCCCCCACAGGCACACACCGGGCTGTCATCCTCCCCCCCCCTCGTCCCCCGTCGCTGCGTGTGACTGCTAACAGGTGGTGGCAGGAAGGAAGTGGCAGCAGCTTGGGCCGAAGTCCCTGTTTATCCCTGGCTGTGTACAGCCTGCTCCGGTCCTCCAGAACCAGGCACCATGGCAACCAGGGTGATGTCAGACCCGGCATCTCCATGGAAACCAGCCACGGTATCTGGGTCAAGAAGACAAACACTTCGGAGACCCAAACAGGAGACAGCCTGGAACCCCTGCACTGAGGGTCCCAAACTCGGCTCCCTCTCTCGCCGCCGAGTCCATCCCAGATGCCACAAGCTAGCCCCGCGCTCCCCGGCCCGCAGCTCCTTGCCTTATTAGGAAGTTGCTTCCTCGGTCTAACCTCTACCCCTCCCCGCGCTGTTTCCAGAGCTCTTTCTCGCCGACCTCTCCGCCTCCACCCCCTCCCCACTCGCAGTCGGGCAGGATCCAACAAAAACACACTTCAGGCTTGTGGGGCACTTCTGCCATTTCTAAAAGACAGCTAAAGGGGGAGCTCTCCCCCTCTGGCTAGCTGCACTCCGCCCCTCCAAGAGTGGTTCCCCCAAACCTCTAAAGCGGAGGAGCCGCAGGAGCCCGCCCGGGGCGCCACCCCCACCGCGGCCCAGCGGCGACGCGCACGCCCGGCTGCGCCCTCCGGTCCCACGACAGGTCCGGAGGGCCCCCGTCCCGTAGGGCCTCACCTGCCTGCGCCTTCGGTCTTCACCCGACCTGTTGCTGCCGCCCCGGGCTTCCAGCCCCGGGAGGGAGGGAGGCTCACGTGACTGGGGCTGGCCAATGGAAGGTCAACTTCCCTGAGGGGGCGGAAACTTTCGGCCAATAAGAGCTGGAGTTGAAAGGCGGGGTCGGAGAGGAGGACCTGCACCGGCCCCGGACCCCGGCTGACCTCCCCGGGACGGACTGCGCTTGCCGCAAACTGCATTTCGGGTGACCACACCTCCTTTCCCCGCGTCTAGACAGTTTCTAAAAGGAAGACCCAACTGAAAGGCAGAGGCACCTCCCGAGACAGAGGGCCAAGGTCGACCGTAGGACGGACAGACGCAGCTGCAGGATGGGGGAGGGGACACGGCGAGCCGAGGGTTGGCAATAGCTCTCCCGCTGTTCTCCCCCAACTCCAGTGCAGAGGCAGGGTGCCGCTGCTACTCTTCTAGAAGGGGAGAAGTGGGGGTCTGGGAAGCGTCCCCAAATTAAATCTGCTGGACCAGGGGCAGCCCCTTCCCACTACACTTGACCGGGGGTGCAGGGAGGGGGTGCTAAACCCAGAAGCACTAACGGCACTTGTCCCCGAGGCCCTGGTTGCAGGCCTGGCCCAGGAACGTGCCCAGAAAGGAGACGTGTTCTCACTCCGGGACTCGGGTAGGGGTGGCGCACTAGGGCCTCCCTTGGCTCCTCGACTAGTACCAGGATCAGTTCAGGGGCCCGCCGCCAGGAGCCCTGGGGCACATACGTATCCTCACCCCTCAAGCATCCTTCCCACCGGTGAGAGGCTCATTCCAACCTTTGTGTGCAGAAACAGCAGGAGTTCTTGTCTGGGTTTTCAAGTCCTTTTATTAATCCAACCGTACAAAAGACCCCCACCACATCTCTGCCACCCCCATTTTCTTCCAAAAAGTAGTGGAGAGGAACAGAAGGATTGAGCAGACTCCTCCCCCAGGAGCCACTTACAAAAGGCAGAGATGGGGGGCAGGGGAGGAAGACATCACAAAAATAGCAACAGATAAGAGGGGCAACAGAACAACACACACAACACAAAGCTGGGGGGAAGGGGCTGGTCCCTGGAAGAGAGAAGCCCCCAACCCCCTCCCTTCTTTCCCACAGCCTCAAAGCCGCTGCCCCATCTGGGCAGCCAAATGCGCTCTGCAGTACATTTGCTAAGTCTTCACAGGCTAGGGTCCCCAGAGAAGCGGCCAGGGGACCACTAGCTCCTCTCTGGGCCACGCCTGTGCCTGCCTTCCCCACCCCACTGAGGAATGTGTGCTTGAGCTGCAGTGCAGGGCTCCCACCAGGCCCTGGGCCCATCTCTGGCAGGCAGTGCCTGAAAAATAAAATAGGAACACATAAAGCCCAGTGCAGGCTTCTGGCTGAGAGGAAAAACTGCTAATCACCCGGCCCAAGATACACAGAAGGGCAGGGAGAGAGAAACAAAACACACCCAGACCCTGGACTGCATCTCAGGACCACAGCAATGGCCGTCCCGCTGCCTCCCTCCCCCACGGGCTGGGACAGGGATCCTTCGATCAGGAGATGAGGTATAAGGGTTCTGTGCCTTTCCAGGCTTTCCTTCAGCCGAGCCAGGGAGACAGAGGAATACAGGGCCAAAAGCTCTAGACCAGCGCGGACAAGACCGTGCAACAAATGGGCGAGCCGGGGAGGGCCACGCGAGCAGAGTCCATGTTCCAGGACAGTCTGAACTTCAAATATCCCGGTCTGTCAGACCGCATACCCCAATTTTTGGCAAAATATGGTCATTAGGAGAAAAGCCCAAGAGAGGCTGAGAAAGGGCCAGTGGCTTTGGTATGAGGGACACATGTCCGGACATCATCTCTTACCCACAGACAGTCTTAAAGCCCCAAATCACCAAGAAACTGCCCCAGCCAAGAGCTCTCCTGCTTTTTCAAGCTATTTGGTTCTCTGAAGGGGTAGGACTTGGGTAAGTCTTAGGAGGAGGCAAGGGGAGGGTGAGAAAAAGGAAAATTCCCCATTTATTCCCTAAAGCTGTCTCCTAAAGCCCATGAAAAGGCTACTGCAGGGATGGGACCCCAACTTCTCTGGCCAGAAACCTTTTACCATGTCACTCCAAACACTAAGGCTGCAGCTGTGGGGCTCGCTAGGAGTGTTAGGCACAGGTGCTGGGGCGTCCATCATCTGCCCAGAGGAGACCCCTGCCCTCCAGATCTTCCTCCAGCCTCTCTTCTCTTGCAGCCACATCCCTCAGCCTTCGGGGACTGGAGCCACCACAATGCTCGGCAGGGCTTTGGTTCCCTGGATCTCTGTTGATCTCAACGTGTACGTATAAGTTTCCAGAAAAGTGAGCAATCCAGGCTCTTCTGCCTGCCCACCTCAGTTCCTTCTCTGCCCCCAGGAGCCACTGTGTTTCTGCCCCATGGGAACGGGAAGCCAGTGGAAACCATCCCCCTGGTCGGCATCACCCATCGTTAGCAGCCACCAGCTGCCCCACACCCTCGCGGATGTACACAGACTGGATCTCCTTGGTCTTGAGGCAGAGATCGCAAGCCCAGACGGCGGAGGCCTCGGTGGTCAGCAGCCCGTACGCGCTCTCTGTCATGCCTGTACACTCACGGTGGAACCACTTCTGGCAGGAGGCCTCACACAGGATGGCGTCCTGGTCATCATTCACCTCACTGCGACAGGCGCCACACGGGTACACCAGGCCTGGGGGAGGCTGAGGCCCTGAGCCCCCACCCGCCTTGCTGGGGGGTGCCAGGCTGTTGGCATCTGGAGTTCCCCCACCCCGCCCACTGCTGTTTGGGGGGAAACTGGGCTGATTTCCATTAACAGCAGCGGCTGGGGAGCCTGAGTGAGGCTCCTGGGGAAAAGCAGTGGGAGCAGGTGGATTCAGGGGCTTTCCCCCATCCTCACCACCAGGGCCAGGAAAGCCAGGGTCCGGGCCAGGGAAGGGACTTGTGTTGGGGGGCAGGCTGGGGAGCCCCTGACCAGGTCTCTGGAGAGGAGAAGGGCCAAAAGGTGCTCCTGGCTGGGCAAAGCGTTGGGGGAGAGAAGGGGGGCCCAGCTCCCCTCTGGGAGGCTGTCCCATGGTGGGTGAGATCATGGGGCCAAATCCCCCCACCGGGCCTGGCATCATCTGCCCACCAGGAGGGCTGAAGTTCTGACCCAGAGGCTGGTTGAAGGGTTGGCTAGGAAAGTTCATGTTGCCTGGGGGTGGGTAGCCGGGGCCCTGGGGGGGCATGTTGAAAGCAGGGCCCATAGGGTTGGGAGGGAAAGGGGGGGGCTGTCGACGAAGAGGCTGGGGGCCCCCTCCACCCCCAGTGCTGTAGCCTGGGGGTACCTGGCCTGCCATGCCCCCCTGTACACGGAAGCCTCCAAAGGGGACAGGACTGCCAAGGAATGGAGGGGCCGCGCCCCCCACCTTAGGGGCTCCGAAGTCATCCTCAAAAGGGTTGGATGCAACCAGGTGATCCACCATGGGAGTCGGGGGTGGCGCAAACTCCGTCAGATGTGAGTATGCAGGGCCCTAGTGGGGAACAGATGAGGGAAAGAGGTTCATGGGGCGGGGGGAACACACAGCTAAAAACCACGAGAGCAGCAGAAACACAGAACGTGTTCTGGACGCTCCTAACGGCCAACTCGGACGTAAATCGAGACAGACCTCAGACTGCAATAGAGAAACAGAGGGTGGAGAAAGCAGGCAGAACTGTGCCGGGATCCTAGCTCTGACACCGAATAACCTCAAGACCCTTGAGCCCGCGTTCCACTTTTTAAAGCCTCAGATTCGTCTGTAAAATAGGGACAATACCTATCTCCCAAAACTGTTAAAGCACCATTGTCACAAAGTGCTGGAAAGGTCATTACCAAAAACCTCAATAAGTAGTAGGTGTCACCTACCAGGAGGGAACCAGGACAAGAAACGTGGGGGAAGAGGAAGACTCCTGGCCTGATAAGATCAGTGGTCCCACGGCCTGACCGCCCCCACCCCCCGTCTGTTAGGAAGTGGAGGGAAAGGGCCAAAAGCAGAGCAGCCTTCTCTTCGCCCCGCACCTGAGGCAAGGTACACACCCACTGCAGCGGGGGCTACGAACGACCCCACCACCATCGAGCCGCACTCACCTGAGTGTTTGACTTCCTTCGCTTCTTCTCTGGGCTCTTCATCTGCAGACCTGGAAGCGCAGCAGAAGGCGGACACAAACAGGTTTCCCTGAGGCTGCCCCACCGCCAGTCCCCCGGACGCGCCTGGAGGAGCTCTTCTGACTCCGGACAGGCGCTCGCTCACTGACTTAACCAATACGAACAAAGGTGCCACACGAGACACGCTGCACGACCACACTCTCGGCCGCCTCTTCCTTTTAACAACAGACCGCCCCTCCGACTCCCCGGGGGCTCCGGCCGGCCGTTTGTCTCCCAACCCCGGGATCCTCCATCTCGGGCACCCGACCCCCACCCCTCCCGCCCGAGCCTCCCGTCGGGCCCCCGGAGCACCCGCCCCCGGCCCCCGGCCCCCCGAGGGCCCGGCGGGCCCGGCCCCTCGGCGCTCTCACCGGCCTTGCCCTGCTTCCTCCCGGTGCCGGGCGGCGCAGGGGGCGGTGCGGGGCCGCCACCTCCCTCCAGCTTGTCCGGTGGGGGCGGCGCCGAGGCGGCCATGGGGCGGGGGGGCCGGGGTCAGCGGTGGCGGGGGACGGAGGCGCCCTCGGGCGGCACCATCGCCGGGAGGGGGGTCGGGGCGCCCGCGAGGAGCGGCCAGGCCAGGCGGCGAGGCCGGGGGGCGAGCGGAGCGCCAGCCGCCAGCCCGCGGCCACACCAGCAGCAGCACCAGCGGCAGCGGCGGCGGCGGCGGCGGCGGCGGCGGCGGCGGCGGCAGCCGGAAGCGGAAGTCGGCGCGGACGCCACCACCGCGCGGCGAGGGGGCGGGGCCCGGGCCGGACCACCCGGCGGCCGAGGGGGTGCGCGGCGCGGGCGGGGACACGTCCGTGCGGGAGGGGCCGCCCCCCGCCCCCGACGGGGTGGAAGCGGCGACCGAGCACGGGCAGCAACAGGGACCACGAAGCCGAGGTACAAGAAATAGGAACTTTAATGAAGAGGATTTCCCTTTGGTATAGTGAGACCCGTGGAGACACCGTGTCAAACAAAGCGAAAAGGCCAGGACCGAGACCTAGACTCGCAGCGGCAGGACGGGCTCCGGGGCTCCGGGCCGGCGGGGTGGCGCAGGCGGCCTCTACCAGGGCCTGTCACTGCAGGTGTGAAGCTGCTCACACCCGTGCGGCCTCCCCGCTTCGCTCCGTCCAGTCCTGGCTCAGGATCTGCTTCTCAGACCCCGGTCTCTGGTAGAAAAGAGAATGCTGTCGGGCCCAACTGCCTCGAAGGGCTGGGAGGAGGAAAATGCCAATCATTGTAAAAGGGCTTTGAAAAGTCAGAGGTGACGTGTACGCGTAATTGAGTATTGTCATTTTGTGCTCAAGATAAGCCATGGAAAACAAGGAAAATAAATCTACAGCCCTAAAATATATGCATATACAATAAATGCCTTCCCAAATCTACAGATGGCATTTGGGGATTGTCTACTGCTTTTGTCTCAATGCCCCCGTTCCTGCCTCCACAAATCCGCCTGGGAGACTTACCAGTTGAGGAGGCCCGAATCCAGTCACCGCCCCCCACCCCCACCCCCCGCCCACCCCAGTAGGAGGAGGCAGGGGTAGAGGCTGCAGGACCAAGGACTATGCTTTGGCTGTAGAGTATAATATGCATGCAACGTGGGGGGGGGACGACTTACGAAATGTATATACAGACCCCTTGAGTGAGGGCCCCCCCCCCCCCGGCCAGGAGGCACTGAGCAAGGGAGGGGTCCATCCCCCCCCGCTGGCCAGGAAGGGGGGCTCTGAGGCAATCTCTAAGGGTTGCCTATCCCCAGGGAGAGGGGACAGCTGCCATTCCTGCCTCTGTTCTCCCAACCCAAACTGGAGGGGGTGCTGAGCAAGGAGAGGACAGGGTCCCAGAAGCCAAGAAGGTGTCAGCACCCCCACCCTCAACCTCAGGGGCTCAAGAACTCTTTGCATAAAGTATCTTCAGACCTAGGACATGGTCAAAGGCACAAAGTTTAACCATTTGGAGGGAGGGCTGTTGAGAGGCGTCGGGGGTACCCTGAGCCCAGGGGTAGACCAAAGGCATGATTCATTCCCCCTTCCCTGGAAAGGTGATTGCCCCATTAGGCCTTTCTCACTTCAAGGAGGCACACTGCCTAGGCCTCAAGCACCCGCCTTCTTGGGGAAGGGGGTATCAGATTGGCACAGGAAAGGCCCAGGGAAGGGAGCCACTCTGTACAGTAATACTTTGGTAAAGTTTGGGGAGAAACAGGATTCTACCCCCGGCTATTGACAAACCCTCACATTCAGCCGGATGCTGAACTGTGTCCACACTATTCCGGGCTCCACCACAAGGCCAAGCCCACAGAACACTCCCAAATGAGGTCCTGAGAATCAAGGAATAGGGTGGAAGGGGTGGGAGCGCCCCTTCGGGGAGAAAGCACTGAGATGGATCACAGCTTCCGCTCCACGGGCTGCTGCAGACATAGTTCACTGCCCGCAGAGATGATGGGCAAGTGATTGTCCACGTGGTAGCTGATGAGGTGGCTGACACTCTCAAAGCGGTGATCCTTTGTCCGAACCTGAGGAGTTAATTCAGGTGAGGAGTCAAATAAGACCTCTGCCCCCAAGACTGCAGAAACCAGAATACTCAAGGGGGCTGAGGAAGGAGAAGACGACCGGGACGGGAGTGCCGTCAGTCCAGATCATCGAAGCTTCTCTAGAAAGGAAATCCACAGCTAGTTCTGGAAGTGGGCAGAGAGGACATCAGCCCCAGAAACTGAGAAGCTGGGCGGTATCTACTCTCCTGGCCTAGAAGGTGGCATGTCTCAGAGGAGGACACACACTACGAAAAAGATGGGGAAAGGAGGCTGGGATTGCTGTAGAAGAGAGCCCAAAGTTAGCAGGGACAGTGGGGCGGGGCAGATAGGCGACAGGAGGCCAAGCTGAGCCCTGAGTCTGGAGATGCTGGGGAGGTCCCTGGCTCCTCTTGGAAAAGGAGACTTGGGGTTTCTAGGCTCTAGCCATCCGATGCTGGGCATCACCACCTCTCCAGGATGGTTTCCTTGTTTGTCAGAAGAGGGGCTCAGGCAAGCTAAACACCTTCTAGCTCAGATGCACGTCAGGGCTGGGGAATTGAGGACTGAAAGGAACAGAGCTCGGGCTCAGGGGTATGAGAAGGGAAGGATGCCATCCCGCTGGGAAGGGTGCCCATATTCACATGCCAAGCAGGGAAAGTGGGAGGCAGCGAGGGGATGCATGGCTACGCAGGAGCCCTTTCTGCCCCCCCCCCCCAACACACACCCCTGCTCCACTCACCACGCCCTCTGGGTCCACCAGCAGCAGGTGCTTGGGCTGCCCACTATGCAAGCCAGTGAGCACATACTGTCCTGGAGTGGTCGTGCTCTCTCGCACCAGGAAGTCCCCGTTGAGCTGCAACAGAGCCTCAGCCTCCCGCCGGCTCAGCTTCCCGTGGAACCAAGGCTCCCCTCGGAGCTGTTCAGCCATGGCCACGGCCTGGGCAGGCGGAGGCACCCGAAGGGCATCTTCGAAGGGCTCTGGGGGTTCAGAGAGGGGGCAAGAGAGGCAGCTGGCACAACACAGGCCAGGACCCAGACCTTCAGGGAGCAAAAGCCTGGAAGGAGAGCAGGGCAGAAAAAGAGGACCCGAGTGGGAAGACATAGATGCAGAAAAGGAGAGAGGAGCACTCACTCATGTCAAAGAGGTCTCGGGGCGTGCTGCCATTGATGGCAGGATTGGGGGGCCCAGCCCCACCCCCTGCTTGCCGGGCCTTGTCTAGGTTCTGGACGTTGACATACGAAGGATCATCGAAGAGCTCTTTACCTGCTGAGGAAAGGGAGGCATCACAGTGACCCCAGCCCTGCCTCCTGCACCCCTGCCCCTACACCTCCCCACTCCCTTCACACCTGCACAGGGCGGTGGAGGTGGCATCTGTTTGCGAATTTCTAGGTCTCCCCCAACAGGCTGCCCCACCGGCTGTAGGGACAAAAATAAGATGAGACCAGAAGCCCAAACCGGCCACCCCCATCCCAGGTCCCAGGCCCAGCCCACCTCCATCCAAGTAACTTACCAGCGTTGCTCCCAGGTGGCTGGGGGTCTGGCCAATGGGTGGAGTGGGTCGAGGAGCCCCCAGGGGGGCTCCTTCCCGAAGCCTCACGTCCACCACTCCCCCAAGAGGGGGTTCCTTCCCGGGGAAGTCGTTATAGTACTGGTGGTCAGGTGGCTCTTCCTCCTCCTCATCCCAAGCTGAGCCATCAAAACCAGTCATCCTGAGAGGAACAGGAGGGAGGGAGGGCACAGACAGTGGCCATGGGCCGGGCACTTCCTGCAGGGCAGGCCTGAGGCTGGCTGTTTTCTAGACACAGCCGTGCCATCCTCCCAGGAGCCCTGCAAGGTAGCTATTACCTCCTTCCGCAGTGATAGAAGAGAGATGAGGCTCAGAGGTGGAGAAATTTGCCTGTAGTTTCACAATTAAAGGGTTGCGGAGCTGAGTTGTAACATCAGATTTGATTTTAGAGTTCATACCCTCGATTATCATGCTATCTCCCAATACGGAGGAGAAGCACAAGGAGGCAAGGGATGTGCTCCAAAATAGTTTAATCTCCTCTAAATACTCAATAGCTACCAGCCTTAAGGTGGGAAAGAAAGGTAGAGCTCTCAGGAAAAAGACATCCTCTCTCCCTAAGGATGGAGAAACGGGCAAGAGAGAGAGCCAGGCTGGCAGCACAGTGGCCCGGCACGCGAGAGGAAGAGCGGGCCTGCAGCAGACAGGGCCCGGCCAGACTTTCCTGACAGCCACAGGAAACTCAAGAATAGCAGGAAGTGGGAAACACGCACACAGGTTATTTTCACCCCCGACCCTCTCTGGGCTCGAGTGTGAGCAGTGGAGCAGACCTGCTTTCTCCGTTCGGGCCTGGGGCCCAGAAGCTGCCCCTCACCCTCCTCACCCGCTCACCTGTCATGAGGAGTGACCAGCTTGGGCGGGTTCCTGAGGTATTGTTTGAAGCGCAACTCGAAGGCCTGGCCGATGGTGCTGATGACATCCTGAGCGAGCCCTTCGGGACACTCCAGGATGTGGCAGGCTGGGGGCACAGCAGAGGCGGCCTGCTGGGAGGAGGCGCAGCCAGGGGCCCTCGTCTTCCCGGCAGGAGCCCCTGCTTAGCTCCCCAGGTCCTGCTCACCTGCCTCTCGGATAGCTGGCCCCACCCAGCGCTCCCCACCACGCCTCACCTCTCTGATTCACCGGGTCTTTGGCAACATAGGCGACGTACTCAGCTGTGTCCTGGGGTGGGCAGGGTCAGAAGCAGCCCCTTAGCTCAGTTTTATACAGCCCACCTCACCCCTGACCCCTACACAACCCAGGCCTTTCCAGACACCACTTCGATCCCAGCACACCCTCTTTTCCAGCTGGTGTGGCCCCTACTCTTCCCACCCCCCCGCCCTGTTGCCCAACTCACCGGGTCCCCACCGGACGCAAAGGAGATAGACTGCATGTGGTGGTTGGCGATGATCTGAGGGTTAGTGCAGGGGACAGAGAAGGGAGGGAACGGCATGGGTCAGGCAGCCCTGGGGCACCTGGGCACCCCCAGCCCCGCCCCATAGCCCTGGAGTGTCAGTCCCGCCCTTTTGGCTTCTTAGCCCAGGTCCTCCCAAGCTCCTCCTTCCTTCCTGTCTTAGCTCCTGGCCCTGTGACCAGGTCCCGGCTCAGCCCTCCCAACAGTGTTTCTGGCCCCCTCACCCAACCCCACCAACCTGTTTGCAGTCTGCGGCCATAAGGTTGAGGCTGCTGGTAGAGACGGTGAGAGTGATTGGCATCCCCGCAAATTTCAGGTTACTCCTCCCCAGGATGGAACTGAGCGGGCGGCTACAGGGCTAGGGAAGGGCCCAAGGATCTCAGAAGCTGGGGGTTCTCCACACCAGGAATCCCCCACCCCCTGCCTTTTGGCCTGCTCCCCCACATTTCCCAGCAGCACGCCCAGCCCCATCGGCCCCAGGTACCTTTCTCCTCCTTGTCGCCCCCTTGGCACCGGGCACAGCCTCACACACCAGACTGATGGCCTCCCTGGGGAGAAAGGGGTCCTTAGACCCAGAGCCTGCCTCCCACTCAGCTGGGGCTGCCACAGGGCAGGGGGAGGGGAAGACGAGGCCAGACTCCAGGGGCACTCCAGGCTCTTTGTCGTGGTGGATTGAATTAAGGGCCTTTAATATTTGATGACATGGAGAGGCCACTTCCTGGCTGATTGGGTTAGGGCCTCAGTGGGTCTGGCCCCACCCCCTTCCAGCTACCAAATGTCCGATTCCCTCTTCCCAAAGGCAGCAGCAACCTTCCACCCACCCCGTTCTATACTCAGGCTCCAGCTGCCGGCTGGCTCTGCCACCTCCCCCACCACTCACAGGACTGGATAAGTAAAAAGGATCCAGACCAGAGGTGCCTCTTTTCATTCAGACTTAGACTCACTCCTCTAACTTTCTCTCAATCCCCTTTACCTAAAGATAAGCCATGGCTAGCAAGTGACTAAGACCCATTCCCCTGCTCCCCTCACTAATCCAGAACTCCCCCCGTCTGCCCCCTCCCCACTAACCTGGTGACCTGGGTGCGGGTGTTGAAGTCCAAGGCACGCATTGACTGCAGAACCTCCACACAGCCCATGTACTGAGGGAGGGATGGAGGGGGATAAGTCAGCCGCCTCCCCCCACCCCTTCACAAGGAGCCGTGTGCCTTTTCCCTATGTGCTCCCTAAAGAAAGAGTAAAGACGAAGTTTTGCGCTGCCTGCGGCTACACCCCACTACGTGCAAGATCAGAGAAAGAAGGAGCAGAGGAAAGGGCAAGCTAGGAGGGCCTCGGGCATCTGGGAGGAGAATGTGGGGGGCAGCGACAGGCACTGGGGGTGGGGGGGCGGGAGAGGGGGTGGAGTGACCTCCCCAGAGGGAGGAGGCTGGGGGACACAATCAAGACTCACTCATTCCAACACTTACTAAGGGCCTGCAATGTGCTGGGCTTTGTGCTAAGCATGGCGGGGGGCGGGTGTCACAAGAAGGAAGGGGCCCAGGCAGAGCTGGAAGGGGAGGGGCCACAGAAGCAGCTTAGGAGCTAGAAAGGTATGAGAAACAGGACCCTGAAACCAAGGGAGGTGCTGGGAAGAGCAGAAAACAAGAGGCTTGGGTAAGGCTGGAGTGAGCAGAGGAACCGGAGGGGTCCGGGAGGGGGGAGGAAGGAGGGAGGAGGGAATGGGAGGGCGTTCACTTACCCGAACCAGGTAGGAAACCCCGGGTCCCATGACTTTGTCGTTGGGATGCAGCCAGCCCCGCGTGGGCTTATTGACAAAGCTCCCGTGGCGGGTCCACTCCTCGCCCCCCAGCTGGCCCCCTTCTACCCGAGTCCTGCGCCCGCCGCCTCCACTCAGCTTGTTCATGTCCTGGAGGGGGGGCAGGGGGCCTGAGTCTGGCACGGCCACCCCTACGATCCCCTCCCCATCCTCAGCTGCCCTTCCTGGCTCCCCCTTGGGCCCCGGGCGCCCCCCAGCTGGGTTGGCCAGCTTCAGGTTGCTCATCCGGGGGAAGAAGGAGCACAGGGTAGTGGGACTATCATCCCCAGGCAGAGGTGGCAGGATGGGCCCCAGGGACGAGGCCGACGGGGAAGCCAGCTCCTCCGGTGGGGTGGACCCTGAAGCCCCCTCCTCCAGCGATGACAGAGACTCATTCCGAAGTGGGTTGTACTTGGGCTTGGGGGGCAGGAGATCCATGGCTGCTGTGAGAGGGAGGCTGCTGCCCAGCCCGGCCCCCCTGCCAGTCAGGGCAAGGGGGCCAGGCAGGGTCATCCCCAGGCCCTTAGTCTGACCGGGCCTCTATGGCCCAGGATCTCAAGGGTCCTGGGGAGGGTGAGGGACAAGAGGCGCCAGCGCCCCCCGCTCAGACCCAGATGGTTCCAGGCCCCATCCCCGCCCGGCGTGGAGCCTCTTCTCGGGCTGAGGAGAGAACAGGCTGGACCCAGAGCTGCCTGGCTCCTCCCCAGGGGCGGAGAGCTAAGGCCAGAGACCAATCCCGAGGACAGTGCTGACTCACAGGCTGTAAGGGGCTAAGCCCCCACCACAGCCCCAGCCTAGAACTCTGGCAGGGATAGAGCTCTCCACGCCACCCCCCCTCCCGCCCCCAGACAAACCACCAGTAATCTGGGGAGGAGTAGAGTGGGGGTGGGAGGGAAGGATGTAGGAATGAGAAGGAAAGGAGGGAAATAAGAGGAGGTCTGGATCAATCCACACAGGACATGGGCAGGCCAAAGAGAGCAGGAAGCTGCAGGAGGGTAGGGGGAATGAGAAAGGAAACAGAGGGAGCTGGGGGTGGAAAAGGGAGGGGATCCCTGAGCTCAGCACTTTCCTTCCTGTCCTGGTGGAGCACTCAAATGCCCCCCTCCTCCAGGCCAGGCCACCCCTAACACTACCACACAGTCGGGTGGTGGCCCCAGGGAGCCTGGGCCATTAGCACCCTCTGCTACCACAGCTGCGGACAGGAGGTTAAGAAAAGGGGTAAGGATGGAAGTGGTCCCAGTGGACGCAGAGAGGGGCCAAGAGGAAGAGCAAAGCTGGAGAAGTAAAGGGAATGAGGTCCAACCTGGGTGGCGCACCAGGCGGGAGCTGGGGCAGAGGACAGGCTGATGGAGCCCTACCACGGCATCCACCATGCCAAGGAGCAGCGGCCCCCAGCCAAGCACTCTTCTGTGCCCCCTTCCACAGGCCGAGTCAGCAAAGCAAGCTGTCAGGGGCGGCTGGGTGAAGTGGCAGGGCTCTGACCCGCCAGACAGGTTCATACCCCTCCTCTTGCAGTGGTGAGTAGGGAAGGTGCAGGTGTCCACCACGGAGCACAGTGCCCCCCAACAGCAGGGGCAGAGTCTGGCTGGAGGAGATGGGAGAGTGAAACAATTCTCCAAGAGAAGTGGGGGCTCCAGGCCACCACAGGATAGAGGGGGCAGAAGACAAACCTGTGCCAAGGGTGCCAGGGGTGGGCTGGGGCTGGACACAGGGAACAGCCCCACCCATCCCTTCCACACGAGGCTCCCAGACACAGCTCTGCTGGAGGAGGCCGTGGAGGAAGGGGCAAAGTCACCAAACAAGAAGTAGTAGAAAATACATACAATCCGCACGCTCACTTTGGGATTACCTATTCTTAAATTCCAGAAGATACAAAGACGCAAACTATACCCATTGATACTACTAGCATTTAAATCGTGTTAGATACTGTGCTAAACTCTTTCCCCTGGTCTTAGTCACTCCATTTCCTCAGGCCTTCAGCCCTCAGGCCTAGATTGATTGAGGAAGGGGTTCTGCCCTGGCCTCGCACGCCGCCCCCCCCCGCCCCCCCACACACAGGCCAGGACGCCCTCCTCCTGCGGGAGCCCGCACAATCCAGAGGCAGGGAACAACCAACAGGTGTGGGCGTTTGGAAGGAAAGAAAGAGGAAGTCGGGCTCTTTAAATTTGCATAGGAAAGGAGCTTGCCTACTGTGAGTCGGGGTGGCTGGGTGTGGGGGAGAAGCTGCTCGTGGCTTCTCGGCCCAGCAGGGAGGAGGAGGCAAGTAGCAGGAAATGGCGAAAGCCTCAGGAATGTTTCCAGAAGGGAAGGCTGGGCGAGCGGGACCAGAAGGAATGCCCAGACAAGAACTCTGGTTAGGGGGCGGAGAAGAGCCAAAGAAACGGTGGAGGCTGGGGAGTCCCTTCCAAAAAAAAAAAAAAAAAAAAACAGCAAAAAGGTCACTGCCCCCTCCACCCACGCCAAGCCACCGTTTTCTGGCAGCAGAGAACTTTCGCCCCTGTCGCACCCGCAGGTCACACGCCAACAAACCCATGGCCCTACCAGGTCCCGAGGTGCAGGTGTGAGACCTACAGCTGTCTCTGGGGCGGAGTCGGTCCTGGGCAGGGAAACTCCGGGGCTGGGAACCCAGGAGCAAGCCCCTCTCCCCGTCTCGCGCCAAACCCCAAGTCCAGCCCCCTTCCAGTGGGCCCACCCTTGGCAGGGGGCAGGGGGACGTAGAGTGCTGCCTCGGACCTCGCACTGCTCAGAACCAGGAGGGGCACTTTGACTTCCCACCTGCCGGAGCAGGAGCGCTCGGGAGAGCTGGGCCCGAGGCCCAAGCGAAAACAGGGAACTCTGTCTGCAAGAGGTTTGAGGACCCAAGACGGCGCTTCTGAGGAGGGGACCCAGGTCCCACTCGGAAGGTTCCCGAGGGGGCGTGGCGCCTAGGTCGCGTGCACTGGGGCCTTCCAGGAGGCGAGGCCCCCCGCACGGCCCGACGTGGTCAGGGAAGGGGCGGGGCCTCGGGCGGGGCCCCTGGGGAGGCGTGGCCTCCCGCGCCCGGCCTGTCCGCTGAGGGGCGGGGCTCTGGCCCTCTGGGAGATAGGCTTTTTGATGGACCCGTCGCCAGGAGGCGGGGTCTCGGGGAATTGGAAGAACTACCGTCAGGTTTCTTGCAGTAGGGCTTGGAAGCATGTCCGGGGGTGGGACTTCCAGTTAAGCTGGGCGGCAGGGTGGGGTCGTGGACAATAAACAGAAAACAAATCGGGGTTCGGGGAGCCCCCTGAAGATGGGGGGTGGGACTTCCGGGGAGGGGGTCTCAGGAGGGCGGGACTTACAAATGAAGACCGGAAGTAGGGTCCCGGGAGAGGGGTTCCGGGGTGGAGGAGTGGGTCACCTAAGGAGAGGGAGAAGACCCAACTCACCAGGGCCTCATGGAGTCTCCGCACCGCACCGCACCGCGGCTCGATTTTGTTCCGGATCACGACACTGCCTCCTTAGCTGGCCGTTCCAACTTTCTCCCCGGCCTGGCCTCCTTGAAGAAACTTTATTGCACCCACTTCCGGCCTCACTAACCCCTGACCCTCTACCTCAGCGTCCCTCCTTCAGCCGTCCCACTTTCCCGAATCCGCCAATGGCAGCGCGAGAACGCGCACGGGGGCAGGGATAGCCAATTAGAGGGGTATTTTTTTACCTACGCTAGTCCTTGACGAACGTAAGAAGTATACTCCAATAAGGACTCGAGGAGAAGAAAATCTAAGCCAATCCGAGGCTTGAAGGTGGAGTTGTCCCGCCTTAAATCAAAGGGACCAATAGGGAGCGCGGGCGGCGTGTTTGAAAGCGAGGCCAAAGTGGGTGGGAGCGCGTGCTGCTGGGAGTTGTTTGGAGGTTGGCGGCGCGGGCCTGACGGTCCTCAGACTGAGCGATCATGTCGCATAAACAGATTTACTACTCGGACAAATATGACGACGAGGAGTTCGAGTACCGGTTAGTGCCGGCGCGGGGGCCATAACGAGGTCGTGAACTTTGACAAGTGAGGGCTGAATCGACAGGACCGACGCAAGCGCGAGAGACTCACAGGACGCGGACGGGGACGATCGCGGAGAGCGCAGGGCGCATGCGCGAGGGCCTGGCGGCGCGGGGGCGCGCAGACCCGGCGAACTCCGAGTCAGCCCTGAGCGGGGCAGCGGGCGGAGGGGGCGTGGCTAGAGTTCGAGGCTGACCCCCTCCACCAAGACGGGGTTCTGAAGCGTTCTTTGAGCTTCCCCCGGCACGTCGAACTTTGCCTTGTGGAGCCTGCTGGGAAGAGGCGGCCGCGGCGGCGCTGGAGGATTCCTGGAAAGGGGGCGTGGGCGTGCGGGCTTGTTGCGGGGAGGGCTTGGAGGAAAGACGGCGGGGGCCTGCTCGATGCCCCTGTGACGTCCGACCCCGCGCCGGGGTGCCGCAGGCTCAGGAGTTGCGCCGCAGCGCGCGCACAGCGCACGGCCCCTGCTTCCCCCGACCGAGAGTCGGAGCGGAGCCTGCCGGCCTTCGGGAGGAGGCGCTGGGGCTGGGCTGGGGTCAGGGACAGGTGTGGGGCATAGCACTCGCCGCTGGCTTGCGTCTGACAGATGCGGCGCCGCGATTCTAGGCCGGAAAATCGGGGGGAGCGAGGATTCTGCCCGAGTCGGCATTCCAGGCATTCAGTGTGACGCTCACACCGACTGCCTAGTGGGTGTCTTGTCTTCCACCTTGAAGAACGTAGAATGGAAACTTGCCAGGCTTGTGTTCCTTTTCCAGCCGAGTGCGGGGCTCCGGGGACCCGGTGTGTGCTGACCCGCACGGGACCGTGGGCCGGCTAGCTTTCTTTCCCACGTCTGAACTCCGCTGACTAGACTCTGTGCTTTACCACCCTTCGCAGGGTTAGGGAGCTGTAAGTCGCGGCGGTGCTGTTCTGGTTGCCGTTGTTGCGAGGGTTTGTGTGTCTGATCTGATTGGGTATCGAAGGCCGTCCCTGTGCCGGGGGCTTGTCCATTGAATGTAAGCCATCTTCACGTATTTAGACTAGAATTATGCCTTTGCAAAGAGTCTCCGCTACTAGTACAGAGAGCGTCTAGTATATTTTCACTGAGCACGATGGAGTCTCTCTGGATTAGCCCAATTCATGTCAGAGTAATAATTTTTTACCATGAAAGGAGACATCCTTGGTTAGGAGAACATGGGGTTTCCCAAAAGAAGTCTCATGGCAACTCTCTTCAAAGTTAGGAGGATGAGAGCGAGGGTAGATTTTGGAGGGTGAGACATTTCCATTTCATCTTTTGTGACGGCTGTCCCCCGCAGTGCTCCATAAGAGGCCTTTCTTCGCAAAACCAATCCTTTTCGAAATTACTTTTAATTATTAACACTGTGTGTGCTATGGGGCTGCCCTTATAGCCTTCTAGAGTAATCAGACTGAGCTCCAGGAAGGCAGGAAAACAGGTGCTCGTTCACTTGGGTTAGTCATTAGTCATTAATGCGTGCTTTTTAACATACTTTGGTGAGGATTTACATAACTGGCCTTTATTTCTAGCTGCCTCTACCCCACAATAAGATTATATAAACTCCCTACCATCAGAAACCGATTTTTTTCTTTTCTTTCCTCTCAGCTTTGTATGCAAGCTCTTCAGACTGCACCCTGTACTGATGTGAATTCTCCCCATCTTTCCAT